AATGATAACAGTGATGTCACTGTATATAACACTGTATAGAGGGGTAGAATGTCTTACTCTAATGATAACAGGAGTAGTACACATACGCCATTCATGCTGAGTATTACTAATTTATTAGTGTATTTCCATTTCACAAAATTCATATCATGACATCAGCTTAGTGTTTGCGACTAGTGAAATTCACTAGCACTGTCAAATAAATGGTATTTCATAAATATTGCTGTGAGGTAAATATACAATTAAATATAATTAGCACATGTTCAATTAACTTAATTGTTAAATTATTTAATTTAGTTTCGTTTTTAAATGTTTTTCGAGTCTCAATGCATTGTAAGTTAACCGTACCCGTAGACTGTACATGTTACGCGGCTCCAACTGCAATAATTTCATAGTCCGTTCTTAGTTGGTTAAGTTTAGCCGCATATCCTGTATTTTACTGTTTAGTTCTTTGCCTCTCTGCATGTGTGACGTCATACATGTTTGTTGAAGGTAGACGAGTAGAGTGGCTTCTATGTGTGTTTCAATCGACTTAGAAGTAGATATCTGCGGGTTATTGGCATCATTAAGACATCTAAGAACTTCTCATCGTGATAATGCTCAATACGCCTATGTCGTATAAGATTTCGCTGAGTACCCAACAACACTCCACACGATGAACACTTGTAGGGTGTTTTCCACAAACGATACGTATCCCGCGATGCTCTGCTGTTATCGCTTTCTGTATCACTGAGCTCTTCATCGTCGCTAGAGGACGCTTTCATTGTACCCTGTGCACTTCCCAGACTTACCACAGATTCAGTTTCCATTATCCCTAAAGTCGGACTTGTCTCGAGGCGGTCAAGGACAGGAGGCATAAATGCTTTTATATGCACTTTTTTGTGCCGTTCCAGATTACTTTTGTGACTAGTTGCATAGCCACATAATTCGCAGCTGAACTCCTTTTGTCCGCTGTGAACCGTCAGATGTCTTTTAAGCAATGCTTTGCGGCAAAAGTTTTTCCGGCACACGGTGCAGTTATATCCTTCCCGATGTTTTGATTGAATGTGTTTTCTGAGTTCAGCTTTGCTACTGAACTCCAAGCCACAGCATTCAAGTTTTTTCTCGCATAATTCGTGCATAGTATTGATATGTCTTTTCAGATTGTTTCTTCGGTTTGTTTCGTAACCACAGTCGGAGCATCTGTAGGTCCGCCGTGTCACCTGCATGGTGTCCAATGTGTGTAATTCGTGCAAGGGTGTTTTAATATCAACTGGAAAAAGCTTTCCAAGATCAGCGAGATCTGGCGGAGAGGATGACATTGGGGGCTGGCAAATAGTGTCATGGTACGAAGATGCCAATTCCGTCAAAGACATTTCCATTGCTTGGAACATGATGTTTACATCCAGTGGGGCACGTTATGACTGACTGCGCCTGTCAATTATAACATAAGAAAACAAATGATCACTGCAAAATAATATGAAACCATATACACAAATTCGTGTTCTAAGCAAGTGAAACCATATACACAAATTCGTGTTCTAAGCAAGTGAAACCATATACACAACAATTCGCACACAGTTAAACTATACTGTTTTATATCTGCCATTGCAGCTTCGCGACCAAACAATTTTCCCTTCAGATCTCACGCAAGTTATGCTATGCGTATATGAACCAAGTTCAGCAAAGTAGCCGCCCATCCATCTTAAATTGTTTTGAGATCTTCTCTGTACTTCACACTAAGCAAGTAAACAACCGTCAATAAAGACAATATTGTCAGCACGGTGAATGCACTTTGTTCACAGCCTTTATTCAACAAAGCATTGCCTTTCAATGTCTCCCTATTCATATCAGCAGAACCGCAATAAAACCAATGGTTAGTGTAATTGAATGGAACTGCTGAAACCATCCCAGTTGACCACAACCACCACAACAACACCAGCAGCGTTTCAATGCCACAACCTGTTTCATGGTTTCTTTATTTGTGTTACTGGACTTATTGATCATGTGACGCAGTTTATCTGATCCGGCCCATGGCGATTCATTCCTCGAAATCCTAGCAGTTTTCATTACTATGGCTCATCACTATACAAGCTTAACATAATCTCAGATATAACTACCCAAATCCATCTAATCAAATGTCCATCAAATCAATTCAACGAAATGACGATCAAATAGTTCCAATCAAATCAATTAATAAATCAAAATCTATATTCAAACAAATTACTATTAAATCAATCCAATGACTATCAAATCAATTCAATCAAATGATGTGTTCGGCTGGCATTCTTATTACAATAACAGTGTACCACAGCGAAATGAATATAAGTCATGTTTTAATACTTGATTGAACTAGATGTGCTTGTTCGGGTTTATGTGTCTCGTATCGAACTACATGCTTGCTCAGGCGTGAGCGTCTCGTATGGAACTAGATTCACTTGCTCAGACTGGGTCGACTCATATGGAACTAGAATTCACTTGCTCAGACTGGGTCGACTCGTATGCAACTAGATTCACTTGCTCAGACTGGGTCGACTCGTATGCAACTAGATTCACTTGCTCAGACTGGGTCGACTCATATGGAACTAGAATTCACTTGCTCAGACTGGGTCGACTCGTATGCAACTAGATTCACTTGCTCAGACTGGGTCGACTCGTATGCAACTAGATTCACTTGCTCAGACTGGGTCGACTCGTATGCAACTAGATTCACTTGCTCAGACTGGGTCGACTCGTATGCAACTAGATTCACTTGCTCAGACTGGGTCGACTCGTATGCAACTAGATTCACTTGCTCGGACTTCCCGTTCACTGAACATTGACTGACAATACATGCATTATAGTGTCATCTTTTGGGGACAGGCCATGACAGGTATTCCATTAATGTAAGGAGGTCAAATAAGGACACCATAACACGTACCACACCTTAAAGTAAAAGTGAACACCGTTCCCATGTAGAAGATCTAAAAAATCCTTATATGAAACAAATATAAGTACACTTATATAAAGTGCACTCTAGGTGTATTGAGTTTATCTACAGACACACTCTAGTGAGGTGTACGATTTCTTAGTAAACCCCGACAACAATTGAAAGATTGCTTATGCTCGACTGAAAGGAATAGTTATTTTTACTACTTACACAGTGAGATCACGACCTCAAATAGAGTCTCATCTCGATGTACAGTGGTGAGTTTGTATCCAACACATGGAGACAGTGGTACTGTAGCGCAGATCAACTTACATCGTTACTTAGTGCACACGACAGCACTCGACAGAACTGCCCAGCTAGGGACGTTTTCCTATGAGGACACTATTTATAGTTGGCTGCACTGGGTTCAGGGCATTGTGTCTTTTCAGATAGTCGATCAATTGAGAGCAGCGTATAATGAAGACTCGTATTGTCGTGTTTGTACCTCCCTCTCTAGTCAGGTTCAGGACCACTGAACCGCAACAATGGAGTCACCAATAGTTTCTGTCAAACGCATTCCATGGGCTTCCATCACTCTTTGTGAAATATTGGACAATAATCAAGAAGGGTTCAAGTATGGATAAGAATTGCTGGATAGCAAGTTTACACTAGATGGTAAACAACTAAGTTTATATTTATGTCAGGATATTGTTTGGAATATATTATTAATTAACGATATTATGGTTTAAATCATTGAATGCGAGGAATATATCAGATAAGTATATGAATACATATATTCATACGAACAGTAATGGTCAGCGACCATTGACGAACAACATGTATAAGCAAGGTGCAAATTTTGTGATGTTGTCATTATTAAAACATGAGATGAAAGAAACGACTGCAGTGAATGGAGCGGTTTTACTGCCTTGGAATCTTCACAATTTAAAGGGCGGTGGTCGATTCGCAGCGTGTGTTCGAATTTTATGTAAATAAACAATGTTTTTACACGCGTTGTATACGTTGCTATTGGTGCCGTCTGAACACTACGCGTTGCTACGATCACTACGAATTTTGATACATCATAATGTTTTATTTTTAATAATCAAATGAAAATAAATCTGAGCGTACTTACAAAACAATGAAGTACACTAATGATGGTTACAGTGTGATAGAGGGCGTTGTCTTAGTTTTTTATTTAATTCGAAAATTTGTGTACTATGCATGGCAAGTCGAAGACAGGGGTCTTTACTGCGAATTCTAAAAATTTTTCAATATTGTCTTGATGACTATGGTTTCCCCCGTGGAGCGGTGCCGACACTCATTACGATTCACATACTCGCTAACATCAGGTCCGCCACACACCATCCTTAAAATGTTGTCATGACTACGATACATGTGATGTTGAGGATACGATAAGCGCCAAGTACCTCGTGGCTGAAGTCGACCCTGTTAGTTTCACAGTAGTCCGGTCCAGTCCAGTAGTTTATTTCACTGTTGTAGGGGTGATCGCGATAAAATAGCAATAAAAACGGACAGCGAAACCAAGAGATCTACACTGCAGCTAAGTGCTCCGGTACGACGTATACTGTGGGATGACTTTGCGATGAAATCTGGGTACACCAGTACGCCGTACACCGCGAAGCCTCGGCAAATAATTGGAGATCTCCTTGAAATGACAGGAAAACATTCTGGGGAAAAAACGGAGTTGATTTTAAACACTCATGAAACTTATACCACCCATTTCCCATTTTCAATTAATGTTTGAAGTTACTCTCGGTTTTTGTGGCGTCCAACACGCCGTAATAACCTGGTGTGTGTGCATGATGTTCGGGTAATTGGGTCGATAATTGAGCTTACTATTGCTTATTACTTACGACAAAACATTTATGTCTGACCACAGCGACTATCAACATTCCGAAAGCGATGTACATTTCTAACTACATGCCCATGTCTCTGGCCTCAGAACAGGCACGATTTATTAGAAATCAAATATACCTACACTCATGGTAACCTTGTCTTTTTGGCCTTTGTTGAGTATGACAGATGTTGTCACTCATCCAATTTCCTCTATTTCATCACAGGAAAACCCTAAAATTATGAAATAAACTTGGTAAGATACAATGTAGGCACACAATGACGAATAGATAAAAAAAATGACATACTTTGTATAGCCAGTATGTGCAGTGCGGGCGTATCTCCTACACTTATGGTCCCGTGAAAGCTGATATATAGGAGAGTACGGCCGTATTTATACTGGCCACTTCTCACTGTATATTGTATATTGATTATTTTTTCACTTAACTTAAGTCTTTGGAATCAGGATATCGCAAATGTATGAGCTTTCCAGATCTGGAGATATCGTCCGTCACACTTTTTAGACTCACTTTCAGAGACTAGTCCGTGATTTTGTGGCCATAACTCGAAATCAAGAGCTCGTATGAGACAATGTATTTAGCCTATTTTGCGCTGAACGTATCTTGTAATTTGTGCATCGTTAGTGTAGCGTGGATAACATTGTTGAAATATGCTATTTTTAATAGTCACTACAGTCACACGGCAGTTTCTGGAAAACGCACACAAAAAAACGGTTCATTGTATTCGGCTACGGATAAATAGTTATCTTCTATTAAATGTATCCAAGCGTTCATTCATTATAAGTATATGATATGTGAAAAACGTCCAGAAACAAAACTATGTCATAGAGAATAAATGTTAATTAAGTGGCATATAACTCAAACAATTTAAGAACCTCTGTTCAGTGATACTTCTCTTTAAATTTAACATGTTTGCCTCTCAGAACATTGGAGTTTATATTGTAAGAACTCAATTAATTTAGCCGGGTAATTTTAATTATTTTTTCTAGCGGATGAATTAATAGGATAAATATACAATACAATTGAATAAATGAAAACATTATAACTGTATTAATTCAAAATATCGACTAGTTTTATGTTACATTATGAAAGTTTTTTTACTTGTAGAACCAACAACCAACACAAATAAATTGTTTTTAACTGCCAAGACAAAATATTTGACAACTAAAAGTCTAAGTTGATTTATTTGAAAATTAATAACTTATAAAAATGACATGGTCTAATTAATAAAGTGGCTGAATTAATTATTGTTATTGTGGTAAATGGTACAGCATTCTAATCAAATTACTTTCGTTTATATCGCATTTTTCAGAATTTTCAGAATGTGTGAAAACAAATACTACAGTGCTCTGTGAGGCTGTCATACAATTTAGTTTTTTTTCAAATGACATGCATGGTAATGTCAATCATCCTGATTCGAAATATGTAATTTTTCTTTATTACAGAACTTTTCAAAGTCAAACTGGTTGCTACATAAATTTTCATAAAATGTCACTCAAATTTAACATAATTTTGAATCATACAGACAGTATCTTCCTGTTGGTTTTTGACCGAGAGCTAGCAGACTGAGACATATTTTGTGGAAGGTACCAACATTTGACAAATGCGC